TCTTGGTACCAGGGATCGAACTCAGGCCCTTGCGCTTGCACAGCAGGTGGCCAAACCACTGAGCTAAATCCCCGGCCCCCTTATTTTTCATTTTCTTATATCCTCCTTGATCTCCTTTTTTAGAGTGCTGTAGTTTTCAGTGTAGAGGTCTTTTTAAGCACTTTATTTCTATTACTTCAAATAATTTTGAGACTTCACTTCTAGGATCACTATTATTTTAGGAACTACATAAGAAATTATTCTATTAGTTTTATGTAGTTTTTGACCCCAAGATCAACTCAAAAAACCTCCTCTCCCCAGTTACCTGAAATTGAGAGTAGCAATGTGCCACCACTGCCAGTCTGCCAATATAGAACTTTGCTTTAGAGAAGGTGTTAAGTGTAAACCTTTTAGACCAAGGGTCCACTGACCACCACTGACTATACCAAGAAAAAGTGTGCAAACGGAATCTAGAATTAATGTTTAAACTAATCATGTTTATATATATTCCAAAACTGATATCAATTTTGCTTTGGATTCTTCAGTTTTCCTCAGAAATACAAGATTCTCTTTATTCACTATAAGTGGTAAAGATAAAAAACAGCTTCAGGAAATGAGGGGACTTCCACATGATGTTTAACATTAATAAACTCTGTTTTTTGATAAAAGCTTCAAAATTATTGCAGAATTATTTCCTAGATAGTTCCTTTATATAGCACAATGCTTCATACATAACAGAAGCCTGATTAAATATATGTAGAATTAATAACAACTGTTTGGGCCAGGGATTTAGCTCAGTGGTTTCGCTGCCTGTTGTGCAAGCGCAAGGACCTGACTTTGGTCCTCGGTACCAAAAAACAAAAAAACCACAACTGTTTAATGGAGGGAAATTCTCTGATAGTAACTACAGTGGTCACCTCAGTTCAAGAACTTAATTTGTTCCACAATTCTGGGGAAGATGGGCACGTTCATGTTCATGTGGGGAAGATGGCTACAGTTGTGTTCACCACCCAATGTGGAATTTGAGCATGGAAGCAAAATTTTGCCAAATGCTTGTTTGCAAACTGAACTGTTCATGAACAAATGTGTTCCTAAACCTAGGCACTGCTGTATTTTAAAATAGGATTCTCGGGAGCCAAGGATGTAGCTTAGTGGCATAGTGCCTGCCTGGCAAGCGCAAGGCTCTGAGTTCAATTCCCAGTACAAAAAAAAATAAAAAAGACACTCAGTTATTTAGTTTGCAGTTTATTATGATAATCATCCCATGTTTAAATCTCATTTAAAATAGCATACTATATACTGAGGGGCTAGAGATGAAACACTTATAGATAAGCAACTGAAAGGGACAGGAAAATGTGTCTCTTACATAACTAATAAACTTCTGAAGCATCTGACATCCTGAGAGTGGCTAAATTTTTATTCCCAAAGACCAACCACTCTAGCTGCAACTTGCAGGTAAAACCTTTATGAAATTTCAAAATGAGCTTTCACACTAAAGGAATGCAGGTTTTTCTCTCCTGTCTCACAGAAACAAATCCTGAAAATATTCATCAAATTCTTCTTCCCTATTTAAAAGAAAAAGTATATATATTAATTAAAATCAGGAAAGTAAAAAATTATTAGGTGACATGAAATTCATAAAAATAAAATATTTTAATTCAACCTACTGGCTGATTATCTTATAACAATATATATTTCTATGATTTTGTCATTAAACAATTCTTAGTTTCTAGAGTAATCATAATTTTCAGATTGATTAAAATTAATTGATTAGGCACTTCTAAAATGTATTACCTAAGATTTTGCTTTGAAGTACTTTGTGAAATATCATTACTTCTCTTTATTTGGGGGGTTTATACTTCCTCTGTTCATTCTCATTTCAAACTACAGTCCACTCAAGAAATGAATAAAAAATAAACTATAAGCAAAAAACACAAGCCTTATTCCTAGGATAGGGAAAATCTGCTTAGGCTTCAGTATTTTATTATTCTGAAAACAGTAAATTTATTGCACATTTTAGCAGTGAATGTTTTAAAGACTAGAATTCTGAAAGGAGATATTAATTTGATTATAATGTATCAAAATATTTGTGAAAAGTGTAAAGTATTAAATAAGTGTTAGTGCTGGGAGCCAGCATGAGACTGGAAATAACACAAGGTTTTAAGTTAGACAGTATAAAGCCAAGCTCTGTCACTTATTAGCTGTGTGAGCAAGTCACTCTCTATACTCAATTTCCTCACCTATAAAAGGAAGATAATTTACATTCCCTCATAGAACTGTTGTAAGGATTAAATGAATACACAATTATTTTTCTTCTGGGAATAGAGAATTAAGATGGATAATAAAAATTAGCCTACCAATCTCCTTACTCTATCATTTGTTTTAAATAACTAAGAACACAAGTCATTATGTTCAAATTTAAGAAAAAAATTACAAAATCAAATACATTAAGGAACTATCTGCAACTTAGTATTATCCATATGCTACTTTTTCACTATCATGACAGCAAAATGCATTAAGATTTAAAAAACAGTAGTAAGAACATACATATATGAAATCAGTAGCATCTCTATATAGACTTAGATGCTCAGTACTTAATGTCAAAAGAGATAAACACAGAGAGTTTTGTGCTATGAAAATCCTTCATGGGATTTACTCATGTATCTTTATTGCCTAAAAAGGTAAGTTGAGTCTAAGACTTCTGTCATTCTCAGTCAGCTCCTCAAGGGGAAGTGCTCAGTAAATCGCTGGGAGTTAGTAGTTTAAATTGAACAGCAATATTTTATTTAACGCAACAGCTTTTAATATAATCTTATCTATAATAAGCACACTTTTGGCAATTCTTTATTTGGCTAAAATAAAAGGCTAGGATCACAAAAAAGAGAAAAAGTAATCTTTTTTAAAAACACTTCTTTATAACATATCTGGTTTTATTGTACTGAAAACATACCATATAATTACCAAAATATCTTATAATCAGTTTAATTAAGAAATCATAATTGGGCTGGGGATTTAGCTCAGTGGTGCGGCCATCTGCCTTGCAAGCACAAGGTCCTGAGTTTGATCCCCAGTACCAAAAAAAAAAAATCAAAATTGATTCAACAGGTCTCTTTCTATTATGAACCAATACGATTACAGACTGATAAATGGGACTAAAATGTATTGTGCACTTATTATATTTATTTGTAGGTATATTATCACATGATTTACCTTCTTCATTTCATTTAATCTTCACAATAAACTCTATGTGGTAGGTATTTTATCCTCTTTTAACAGATAAGGTTCAAAGGGTAAATATCCAGTATATGGCAAGAACTGATAACATTTCAGTCCATACCCAGAGAGTATTTCCTCTCCCAAATCTTAGTAGTGCACTGATTTACAGGTTTTTTGGGCCCTAAGGTGGGTGTTGGCAAGGACATTTACACACCTGTACTAATATTCAAGGGTCTCCTCAGTACGGGTTTATGATAATCACAGTTATAATGGAACCAGACTGTCCAGGAAGCTAGTAAAGAGCTCTCTCTGAAGGAATCCAAACAAGGACCAAAGGGTCATTTGTTAAGGTGAGCTGATGAAAGATTTATTCAACCCAAGGAAGCTGGACACATTAGCTGTTTATGGCCACAAAAATAGCTGGAAATAAACTCTCATCTTATCAGACAAGGTAGTCCTTAGCCCTAAAGAGACATTCATGATGTTAAATTTTTTCATTAATTGTTATCAAGAAGCTCTGTGATCATAGCTATCTAAATTGATTAAAAAAGTTCTATTTTTTCTTCTAGTAGCAGCACTTACTGTGATTTTTCATCTGTTTCTGGTAGTGGACCCTTCCAAAGCTCAGATTCTGAAGCACTTTCTTCCTCATCAGAGATTTCTGTTCATTTAAAAGAAAATTGTAAATAATGTGTTATATTTAAAACACATTTTACTCACCAATGCAATTAACTTTGGACTTAACTGCAATTCAGCTTCAATTTTTATGGTTTTCTGGAAATTTAATTCACTCTTCCAAATATTATAAATTCTTTTAAAAAGAAGTAATTGGAGAAATATCTGAGCCTCAGCAAAAAACCATGAATTGAATGTCTTATGAAAAACTTGTCTAAGCTAACTTAAAGTAACAATTCCAATATTAATTCTTAAATTTAGTTATTCTTTTTCTTGGTCACACAACGGATATTTCAGCTAAGATTTTTGTACAGAGTATATTTATGTTAGGATCAGTACTTTAAGAACTGAGCTACTCTGTTAAGACTAGCCAATCAAATTATATAGACATGTCAGACATTTTATCAAACTGATATTTATTACATTAATTAGAAGAAGCCTGTTTCACTGAAGAAACAGCCATTCTCATACATTGTTCAAAGTAAAAATGCTATAACCCTTTTTCTTGAGGAAAATCTGGCACTATAGATAAGAAGGTACAGGTGCTGTGACCAGCAATGCTGCTTTTAAGAATTTCATTATTTACTTAAATAAGTACCTCAGATATATATGTACAAAGATGCAGACTGTATACTAACAAAAGAAAACCAAATTCCCCACTAATCAGTGATGACTGATTAAATGAATACTATACACGACTGTTTTTTAAAAACCTTAACCTATCTATAGGTATTGCCAGAGGAAAATGTCCATGCTACATCAAATTTTTAAAAAGTTACACAAAGTTTGCCCAGTAGAATCCAATTTATGTTAAAACACTATGTTTTATACATGTAAATTTATATAATGCAACACTGGATTATAAAGACCAACCAAATTTTTTTTTCCCCATTAACTTTATTGATACATTTTAGGTATAAAATACAGTTACATTCATCATTGGGATTTTGTACCATTACATGAGTCTCTTGGTTCTTATTTTTTTTCCCCTTCCCTTGCCCTCCTTTC